GCAGGAGGGCAGACGTTCCACAGGACTCCAAAAGAGCCAAGTGCACTAAAATTACAAAAGAAAACACCAGCTATTTTGGGATTCACATGGAAATGGCAACATATGCTAAACGTTAAACATCAGCCCCTACTGAAAGCAGAACTATTCTGGGCCCATCCTGAAGATGCAGGGAGAGCTGATGCCTCCCTCCCTTCTCCTGGGAGCTCCTTCCCAGGTCCATCTGCAGGTGCTGGCCAGGAGGATTCCATCCACCTTTGCCACTGGTTGGGTGTTCCATAAAGTCTCTGGGAAGGTTAAGCAATATTTTGAGGGGAGAGGGCTCTCCCCTGCTGGCATTTGGCCCTTGCCTGGCTTTCTGCAAGGGTTTGTTTGTGTCTGTGTCATAATAGGGTGTGGGTTGTATTCCACCACAGTGATTTTGTTCACAGCTAGTAATTGCTGGTTAAATCTGGTCAAATAATGGTTGTTAGCAGGGCCTGTTGGAGCACAGATAACCTCAGATATTATCCAAGCAGAGGAGCAGTGGGGGCCGGGATGCACTGGGATATCAGCGCTGCTGGGGAGCTGTAATCACCACAGCCTGGAATAAGCTCCTTAGGATTATTTTTGCCAAGTTTCCCAGTTATCATCATTATTATTATTGCTTTACTTAGCAAATGCAAAGGCTGTTTGACCAGGTAAGGAGTGCAATCCACTGGATGGGCTCAGCCAAGCCTCCCCAGCCATCGAGGGCAGGGATCTTTGAGGGGAGGCTGCCAGGAGCTGTGCGTCAGCCAGGAGACAGTGCCCTGAGTGAGCCAAGGAGCCAGGCACACGTTGCTTTCCAATTAACCCCCTTCCCATGCACACAGCCGAACTGGAGCTCACTGGAAGAAATAAAAATATGTTTTGTACCTCCCAGCCAGGGGAACTGAAGGCAGGGTCAGTCCTGAGTCACCCCGCAGGGATGGAGGGGTCTCTTCCAGCAGTGTTGGCATCCCCTGGCAGTGTTGATACCCCCCAGTCCTGCAGCCAGATTGAGCTGGTGGTATCTGCTGGCACCCTCTCCTGCCTACCTACCCTCTCCTCCTACCTACAGCCTCCTGCTGCCGGTACTTTCAGCCTGAAAAATGGTTGGGAAAAGCGAAATTCCAGCTAGGGCTGTGCAGGCTGGTGCTGCCTGTGTCACCTCCCTGGGGACACTGGCAAACCTCCCTGTCCCACCTCTCTGAATTCCAGGATGAGATCCAGAGGCAGTGAAGGTTTTAATTTGGCAACATCTCATTGTGCTCTCTCCAGGCTTTTCTCCAGCAGAGCAGGGGGACTCAGATTTTGAGCTGAGCAAGAAATAAAGAACCAGAACCAGTAGGTCAGTCACTGAATCCCTGGCAAGCAGTGGGATGTGCCATCCTGCTGCTGTGCTTTCCATTTGGAAAGGAATTGATCAAACTGGGATCAGCCCCTGCTCCCATTGATTTCAACCTGGAACAGCAGAACTTGATGCTCAGCATTTGGAAGAGAATTGTTTGAAATGTGTCCTGAGGACAGCCTGTGTTTTTGGGTGCGTGTTTAATCTGTGTGCTGCACTTCTGGGGGCTGTAGGAATATTCCTTCTGTTTGCCCATTTGCAGGGCAGCTCCAGAGGAGGAATCTGGGCTGTGGCACAGGCAGAGTGAGTGCCACAGGCTTTTTCTGGATGTACTTAAACCTGTGCTCGTGCCCCTGTTCAGGACAACACTTGAAGAGAAACCTCGGTGTTTTTGGAGCCTGGTGTAGAGTCGGGGTGATGGTTCCTGCATCCCACATCCCAAGCACAATGTCACAGGTGCTGAGCTCAGGATCTTGTTTTCTTGGGAGAAAACATGGATTTTGACAGGAAAAATTGCTCTTCCCCCTCATCCCATCCCTGCTTTGATGCTGGCTCTGTAATGGCCACCTTCCCCTTCCCTGGAGGCTGTCCCCGCTTCCTACAGGGATGGATATTCCCTGACAGAGTGGCTTTGCTTCCTGCCAGGCAGAACTGTGGTTAAAATTGGCATTTTAACATTTAAACTCTCTCCCTTGCCTCCTGGGGGGTTGGTGGGGAGCTCAAATTCCCCCTTCCAGGGCAGCAGAGGCCACGTGCGTGGGCAGAGCAGCAGCTCTGAATGGCCCTGGCAGAGCCAGGGATCAAATCAAGTCACATTCCAGGGCATTAGACAGACGGTGGGAATTAAGAGCTTTACCTGGAAACTGGCTTTGGATCTGCAAGCCCTGCTTTTGTCTCCCAGCCCAACTTTCTATTTTTGTCCCTTTCACCTTCCGTGTTGTCGAGTGTGACACGTTTGGGGAGCCCCCAGTAAATCTGGGGCTGTGCAGCCCAGGAGGAAACAAACACTCAGGCAGGATGGGAAGGTAGGAAAAGTGTGGTTTATTAAAGCCAAGCTGCTTTGGGACTCACCCAGAGGCTCCAGGTGCTTTCTGTAGGCTTGGGGTGGGGCAGGGACTACAAAGTCCCATCTGTGCTACAAGTAGGGAGTCTTGGCTTTGGTTTCTCTTGGTCTATAAGGCTGGTGATGGGGTGTCCCTCGGGGGCTGACCCTGCCCTGCTCCAGGGAGTTTGTCTGCTTCAATTCTGCCTTTTCTGCCCCCTTGTTGCTCTTCTGAATCCCTGGCTGAGCTGAGCATCTCCCAGTTGGTGCTGCCAGGCTCTGATCCCAGCTGTGGATGCAGGAGGAAGAAGAGCTCAGAGGTTCACCTTAATTCCCAGAGCCTTGATTTTCTGGCCTGTAAAACAATCTTTGCCTATTTGGGTCTCGTGCTCTTTGAGGAAACCTTTGAAACGATGACGCTTTTGTAATGGTAGTAACGGCATTAGGCTCTCACACGTAACTTGATTTTATTTATTTATTTATTTGTCCTTTCTTAGAGGAAATTGCTGCTATTTTCTGGGCATCGGGCCCAATTTCTGCTTCATTCTCTCTGAGTCCACACCACATCCTGGATGCTGCACCAAAAGATGGAGCCTGTGTGGATGAACACACCCAAATCCAGAGGTATCTCCTTCTGCTTGCCGTGATGTTTCCACCCAGCACCAGCCCACCTGCGAGAACTTCAGCTTCCCTGTGCAGAGCAGGTGGCATTTCCATCTGAATTCATATCCTGGGAATCCTTGGATATGGGAAAGGGGTTAAACTGTCTGAGACTGGATCTGCAACAGGCAGGAGCCACCTCGGAGGCAAAATCTGGCAGGGACACAAAGGAGCAGTGAGCTGTCTCCTGTTCTCCCAGGTCATTAGATCATCCTTAGATGTGCTTCATGTCTAGGTACAGAGCAGTGACAAGTTTGGATGCTTCAGGAGAGAAACATTCACTTCCCTGTGAGGAGTAAATTGGGTTCGTTTGCCTGGTGTCAGTATGTTATGACTCAAAGACATTCATTAACATCAACCAAAATCTGAATGAAAACTGAACTCTGCTGTAGACAGAAAGGTTGGGTGTCATTTTGTTGGGATTTGGGGGAAATCCTCTGAAGAACAGAGCTTTGATTTTAATAGTGTGCCAGGCTGCAGGAGGCTGCAGCTCCGTGTGCATGGCTAAGGGACGTGTCGGGTCACCTGGTGTGAGCAGCAGGACGTGGTGGTGGCTGAGCAGTGCATGCCAAGTGTCCCAGCCTCATGCCAGACCCCCCAGAACTGAGCCAGCAGAGAGGCTGCTCCTCTGAAATATTTCATTCACATTTTCCCATGCAGGGTGAGTTACTCGGGCAGGATTTTGCATCATTTTCTCACAGTGTTTCTCCTCTGGCACTCCTTGCTGAAAAGTCCACTTTGGGTAGCTTGTGAAGCCACAGATTTATTGGTTTCAACACAGGGGGAAATGAGTGAAAACAGCAGTTTGGGACCAACTCCCTGAGCAAAGCACAGCTCAGCTTTTCCAGGGAGTCTGTGGCAGGAGCCTGTGTCTGTCCTGGCTGGGGCTGGGGCCCTGGCCATGCCCAGGAAAGAGCAGAAGGTGTGCTGAGAGTGGCCACAATGACACTGAGCCCTGGCCCAGCCTGTCCCTCGCTTCTCTGTGATGCTGTAGCAGCTCCATGGCACAGCCACACGCTGCCTGGCAGAGGCTGTGCCACCCGAGCCACGAGCAGGGCACGTGTGCTGCTTCAGTCCCCGGTTTGTTCCCAGCTCCAGAAGCTAGTCCGGCTGGTGCTGAGCTCTGGAAGGGACATTGCTGCGGGCTGGGACAGCAGGGATCCGAGTCGGGGCTGTCCCTGCCCCTGTGAGCAGCGGGGAGAGGGCACTGGTGCCATCCGTGCCCCCGGCTCAGGATGTGGCACAGCAACGCCCTGGCACAGCCTGCGGTGAGCCGGGAGGGCCCGGGGGCTGTCACGGACCCTGGGGGCTGTCACGGACCCTGGGGGCTGTCACGGTCCCTGGGGGCTGTCACGGATCCTGGGGGCTGTCACGGATCCTGGGGGCTGTCACGGTCCCTCTCCACGTCCGGGATGTGACACAGCAGGACGAAGGCTCCTGACCCTGCCCGGTGACCTCCGCCCCCCCGAGGGGTCTGGCAGGGACCAGCCCTGCTGTGAGAGGCGGATGGGTCAAAGCCACCTCCCCACGTCCCCCCACCCCAGCTTGTGCCGGCTGACCCCGGGGCTCCGCGGCCGTGCTGGGGAAGGGGCAGGGGGCGGCTGCCCGGGCTGGTGGCCGTGCGGCCGGGGCGACAGGCCGGCCACATCCCTCATTCCTCCGCTGCTGGGTACCGCTTTGTTGCTAGCTGGTGACATCACCCGAGAGCCCACCCCCTGCCTCTTATCCGTCTCTCCGTCTCGCTCATTTATTCCCAGGCAGCGCTGGCAGGATCAGGGGCTGTGCGAGCGCCAGGGCTGGCAGCAGCAGCATGCGTGCGGCCACCGAGGCTCAGGGCTCCACAACCACCTAAGGGAGCCTCCCTCCTCACCTGCCTCCGCAGCCCCCGGCACAAACTTCCCTCTCCCGCACGGGCTTCTCCGGGGGGGCTCGGCAGCGACAGCCGCATGCATGACACTCCGAAAAGGAGAGAAAATGACCATAAGTATCCAGGAGCACATGGCCATTGACGTCTGCCCCGGCCCCATCAAACCCATCAAGCAGATCTCCGATTATTTCCCCCGCTTCCCCCGCGGGCTCCCCGCCGCCGTCGGCCGCAGCAGCAGCGCCCTGCGCCCCGCGCTCAGCCAGCCCTCGGTCAGCCCCGCCGAGGCACCCCGAGAGGATGAGGAGGATGTGGACCAGCTCTTCGGAGCCCACGGAACGACGCCCGCGGAGCAGCCGGCCAAGAGCCAAGCGCCCGAGGAGCAGGTGGACCCCGAGGGCTACGAGTCCGACGATTGCAGTGAGTTCCTAAGTTTCCGTGGGAGTTTGCTGGGTGCCGAGGGCAAGGGTGGGTGTTGGGGCTGGTTGCCCGTCTTGGGGCATCCTCGCAGTGGTGCTGGCCGTCCCGGGGATCGCAGCCCTGAGCGCGGCCGGGGGGGCTCTCCCGGCGCTGCTCCGGGTGGAGGGGGGCCCTGGCAGAGTCCGTGCCGCAGCCAGGCTGGCTGCTGAACCCAAAGTAGGGAAGTCTCCCAAGAGCCACCAGTTGCTGTCGTGCTTGGTGCACTTCTCTGCTTCGTCCCTGCTGGGCTCCGTGCCTCCAGCCCTCCGGCTGGGCTCAGACCCTGTTAATCCGGCTCGGTGGTGCAGGCTGCTCCAGCCACGCTGCCGATGAGCTGGCGATACGCTCCAGCATCAGCCGGCTCCACATCGGGGAGATCCGTGGGGATGGCATCCGCCCGGGAGAGCTCTGTCCTCTCCCTCGGCCAACTCCGGCGTGCCATCCCTCCATTCCTCACCCCCGGCCGCAGTCAGAGCCCTGCAGGAGACCAGGGGGGCCTTTGGAGCACAAGGCTTTGGTTGTGGTGGATGCAGGTGTTTGCAGCAAGGGTTAACCCCTCCCCACCCGAAACGTCCTTCCCACCCGGCGCCGTGGAGCTGCAGGGCAGCCGCTGCACGGCTCCTCCGGCCGAGGCCACCGGGATAACCCGATTTCCCTCGGAGTTCCAGGAACCCCAAGGGCTCCATTCAGCCCAGCCCCCGGGGGCCAGATCCTGCCGGGGGCTGAGCACAAAGTTTGGAGCCGGGAGATGACGGGGAGAAGGGAGTGGGTGCTGCTGAGCCGTGCTGTGTCCTGGGGGAAGGGGAGGCTGAGCTGCTGAGGGCCCAGCGCCGGGCAGGCGGTGCCTTTCCCTTTGCAGAATGTCACAGCCCTGCCTCGCCACCGCTGCCGGCCACTGCGCTGCTGCCATTTCTTCCACACCCCGGAGTGTGACCCCAAGGAGGGCTCCCCGAAGGGCTGTGCTGCTGCAGGGTGGCACGGCTGTCCCTGTGTCCCCTTCTGGGAGAGGCTGATGCTGGGTGCCAGCCCCAAGCTGGCACAGCCTCTCTCCCCACGCCGGTGTCGGGGTCAGGCTCTCCGTGGAGAGGCGACAGCTCTGGCACTGCCAGCCAGAACAGCTCAGCTAAAGCCGCGTTTGTCCCGGCCGGGCACTTAAATGGGACTTTAACCGGCTTTGGGTCATTTGCTGCTCTAATTATCCCATCGCCCTTGAGCAGAAACGGGAGCAACCGGGCTGCAGGGCCAGGGCGGTGTGTGGGAGCCAAAGCACCCGGGCCCCCGGAGTGCAGCGTGGAAGACTCGCATGGAAATTGCTCAGGGTGCTGCATTCTGCATTTATCCATCGGCAATGCTGGATGCTGGATCCTGGTGCTGGATCCTGGGTGCTGGATCCTGGTGCTGGATCCTGGATGCTGTTTGCTGGATGCTGGGTGCTGGGTGCTGGATGCTGGGTGCTGGGTGCTGGATGCTGGGTGCTGGATGCTGGGTGCTGGGTGCTGGATGCTGGGTGCTGGATGCTGGGTGCTGGGTGCTGGATGCTGGGTGCTGGATGCTGGGTGCTGGGTGCTGGATCCTCAATCCTGGGTGCTGGATCCTGGATGCTGTTTGCTGGATGCTGGGTGCTGGGTGCTGGATGCTGGGTGCTGGATGCTGGGTGCTGGGTGCTGGATCCTCGATCCTGGGTGCTGGATCCTCGATCCTGGGTGCTGGATCCTCGATCCTGGGTGCTGGATGCTGGATCCCGGATGCTGGATGCTGGGTGCTGGAAGCAGCTTGGCTCCGTGCCGGGGCCGGCGGGTGTTTCTCTCACCCAGGCTGGTGTTGGGAAGTGTTTCTTGCAGCGTAACAGGTGTCAGGCAAAACTGCTGAGGCTGTTTTGCCAGAGGTGTGGTGGGGTTTTGTCTGGCAAAGGCGGTGCCAGGAGCAGAGCAGGGAGGTGGCAGTGCTGGTGTCACATCTCTGGGGACAGCGCGGGATGGCCCAGACACCCCGAGGACGCTGCCTGGCATGAATGTGCAGGATGAGACTGTCACTCCCCCATGTTTAGCAGCCAAGTTGTAAATCCAGGCAAGAGCTGCCTGTACCCATTCCCCAGGCTGGGAGCAGGGAGGGGATCCGTGCAGCCTGACTCGAGCCATCAGCTACGCTGGGGAGCGTGGATGAGCTCCCCCACACCTCTGGAGGGTGATTCAGGGCTGCTGCATTAGTCACCTGCACTAAATTTCCCCTGGAGAAGCTGTCTGTGCCTGCAAGTCAGGACAGCACTGGGGTTTCGGTGCTCTCAGTCCTCTCGGGGGGGCAGACGGGGTTCAGGAGGTCTCGGGGGATGCTGGTGCCGGAGTCTGGGTGCAGCAGCCACAAATCGAGGTTTTGGTGGGCACATCTTGCCTCACTCCTCAGAGATGTGCCCAGCCCAGCCCCGGAGAGGTGCAGGGAGAGGGATTTTGCCGTGGCAGGATCCATCGGGAGGAGGAGGAGGATTGAACGGCTCCCTCCTGTTTGTCCCACTGCCTGTGGGTTTCCCTCCTCCAACGCCAAGGCGATGCTGCTGGCTGCCTGGGTGGGAGGAGGAGAGCTGCCCCTGCCTGGAGAAATGCAGCAATTGTCTGGGTTTCCCCAAGCTCCTTCCTGCCTGGAGTTACTGCTCCAGCCTGGAGGTTCTGGGGTTTTTCCAGCAGGACCTGAGCTGCCATCCCAGCCCAAATCCCAGAACCCCAGCAGGGCTGTGTGGAACGGGCAGGGGAGGTCCTGCCTGGCCCTGCTGCAGCTCACCTGGCCTGGATGTCTGCACCCTGCTCCTTAATCCTTTGCTGAGTCGTGCTCCAGACCCCACCAGCAAAGCTTGCAGTGTCTGTGGAGCTGCAGTGTCTGCTCCCATCCAAGCAGGGTGGCCTGACCCAGCTTTGGCATCTGCAGGGAGCAGGGATGTGGCAGGGGGGGATGTGTGTGTGGAATTGGTGCTTTGGGAAACTGAGAACCCCCAGGCTGCGGGAAGCAGGTGGAATCCTTCCAGAGATGGGCAGGGACCTGGCTGAGGTAGGAGGACAGGTGGGGCCAGCCATGGGAAGCTCAGGTTTGTGGTTCTGGACACATCTCCAGCAGCCTGTTGAATGCAGCGAGTGGCAGGGAGCAGGCAGGGCCAACTAACACAGCAGAAAATGAGTGGAGACATCTGGGCTGGCTCTGGGATCACTGGGAATTGCATGGAGCCAGCTCTTCCCATCAGACCTGCACTGCATCAGCAGTGCTGCTGCGAGGATTTGCAGGGTTGTGGTGGGCACTGCTGCCATCCCAGGGCCCTTGGAGAGCCTGGCAGAGGGTCTGCCCTGTGCTGGATGAAGCAGGACTCTTCCTGCAGCGGGTTTGTCCCCAGCAGAACTGCTGAGGGGCAGGAAGGAAGGAAGGAAGGAGGCAGGAGAAGTGGGAAATGTGTGTTTGGTGCAGAAGGATGGTTTGGTGCTGTTGGACCAGCATCTGCTGGGAGCTGAGAGGAGCAGGCAGGAGGCTGGGAAGGGGGAATTCGCTCCTGCTGCCTCGAAACACCTGTCTGTCACCTCATCTTTGGCTGGTGCCTTGTGACAGCAGCAGCTCCCCGGGGTCCCCAGCCACCAGGGACGCTTCCCACCCAGTCGGGCAGCACAGTGCCAGGGAAACTTGGTTTGCAAGGAAAATAAGCAAATGCCAGCTAGATGGCAATGTGCCACCTGTGAGGAGCTGGCTCTCGCCTCCCATCTCCACCGGTTTCACCCAAATGCTGCTGCCCCTCCACTGCCTGAGCCTTCCCCTCACAGCACCAGCAGGAATTTGTACCTGAGGGATTTGTAAAGGTCTCTGAAACCTCAGCACGAGCAGAGGTAGAGACAGTCCCTGTGAGGGAGCACTGCCAGGGCTTCTCGCTGGGGACAGCTCTGGAGGGAGCAGCCATCCTCCTTCAATAGACAATCGAGTTTCCAGCCCTTGGAGAAATTCCCCATTCCCTGAGCTGCTGTTTGGCTTTGGAAAGAGGCTCTGGTCACACTGGAATTCCTTCCCTCCTCCAAATGTGTTTGGCTCTGGGTTTTCAGGTGAGGAGAGAGCTTGGCTGCAGCAGGAGTCGGTATCCCTGGAAGTGCTGCCCCATCCTGCTCCTGCCGGCTCTCTGGGACTGTTCCTATGTGCACAAACCCACCCAATTCCACTTCATGCCCAGTTTTATTCATGGAGGAGCAGCCTCCTGAGCTCTGGAGCTGCAGCAGCATGAAAAGCACTTCTCCAAAGTGCAGCTGAGAGGCCAGTCCTGGTGCACGGCAGCTCGTGACGCCTGCAGCGCCACACAAGTTATTTAGGAAGACTCTTATTTTGAGCAAAGAAGATAATTAGGCAGGCAAAGCCATCATGGAGATATTAATTACTGTCTGTTTGAAGATGTAAAGAAGAAGGAAGGTCTGAAGGGGTGCAGGGTTTGCAAGTCACCTGGCAGTGCTTTTGGCCAGACAGGGGGAGGCAGAGACGGCGAGGAACGAGCAGGGTATTTACTTCTGAAACGCAGCTCCTTAGCATATGCTGCAACTGCTATTTATAAGCTTTGAATCGTCTTTTCAATCCAGATAAGGCCAAAAGAAGTATTTTTCTTGCTCAAGAAACTAAACAAACCACTGCTGATTTCAGCAGAGCACGGCTTTGCCAAGCAGAGCTCAGCCTGAGCTGAGGAAATGTGTGCAGGTACAGGGCAGTGTCACACCTGGTGTCCCAGGGCAGCTTTGGGGTGACTCTGGATTAGCTCCTCTCTGCTTTCCTGGGGGATAGATGGATTTTTGGGATGTGCTGGTGTGGGTGAGCTCTCACACTTTCCTGCTCACCATCCCAGCAGTGATGCAGGCTGCACATCCCCGTCCCCCGAGGATCCTCCCTCTTGCCAGGGATTGCCCATGGCCAGGGACACCCTGAAGTGCTGGAGGTGAACACGGGGCACCAGGAGAGGA